TGTTTTGCGCCTCTGTGAGAGCATATTTAAGACAGGGAAAAAAATGATGAGCCATACAGCAGCTGGGAGAGTGAGAGGAGTGAGGAACAGCCTTGCAGGTGCCAAGGTCAGTGAAGAAGGAGGGGGAGAGGTGCCCCAGGCACTGGAGCAGAAGTCCCCTGCGGCCTGTGGTGAGGACCATGGTGAAACAGGATGTCTCCCTGCAGCCCATGGAGTACCACGGTGGAGCAGGGTTCCACGCTGCAGCCCATGGAGGAGACCATGGTGGAGCAGGTGGCCCTGCACCGATGGAGGCTGCCGCCTGTGGAAGACCCCTGCTGAGGCAACTCAGGCCAGACCTGTAGCCCATGGAGAGGAGACCACACAGGAGAAGGTAACCTGGCAAGAGCTGCTGCCGTGGGGGAGCCAGTTGGACAGTTTTGCTCCTGAGGGATGGACCCCGTGGTACGACCCATATCTGGAGCAGTTCTGGAAGAGCTGCTGCCTGTGGGAATCCCACGCCAGATCAGTTCATCAAGGACTGCATCCCGTGGGTGGGACCCCACAGCACAGGGGACAAGAGTGACTGAGAAGAGTGTCAGAGAAGAAGCACTGTAGACTGATCATAACCCCATTCCCTGCCCCTGCGCCACACGGGGGGAGGTGGAAGAGGGTGGATGTGGGGGAAGGTGCTTTTGGTTTCTTTCCTTTGTTTCTCACTTCCTAGATTGTTAGTAATAAGCAATAAATCTTACTATCTCCCTATGCTGAGTCTGTTTTGCCTGTTACAAATTACTGCATGATCTTGTCCTTATCTCGTCCTTTGAGCCCTTTTTCATTTTTCCTCCCCATTCCTCTTTTGAGGAGGTGAGTGAGAGAGCGGCTGTGGTGGAGCTCAGCTGGCCCACTCGAGTGGAACCACAACACCTGCACAAACTTGCCCTGGAGTCCCCAGCTGCACACCAAGGCCTCAGATGCCAGCACTGGGAGCTGCACAGGGGACACCGTGGTTCCTTCCAGATCCTTGCAGGTGTTGCTGTGGGATGGCAAAACCCCATTGAGCAAGGCTGGGGATGGGCTGTGGGTGTGGGGGCCAGCCATGCTGAGACCCCATCCCCCATGAACAAGCCAGCTCATGTAAATTCCCAGACATAGGTTTCTAAAGGAAGAGGTACGGCTTGGAGCAGTAGTGGCACAGCCCACGGTCCATCCACATCCCCAGCCCTTGCTCTCTGTGCCCTGGAGAGCCCCTTTTTTGGCAGCAGAGGTGATACTATAGAGATAGGGGAATCCCTTAAATGCAGCACAGGAGGAGCACTGAACCAAAATTTCTTATTCATCTTGGGCCCTGATGGTGTTCAACACAGGAGCACAAGCCAGGAGGCCACCTAAAGAGATGGAGCAGGGATTCCTCTCTTTGAAGCAGGAGGGGCAGCAGAGCTGCAAAATGCTTTGTGTGCCTCGCAGGAAAGATTCCTTTTGGGGTGTTCACACTCAGGGAACAAAACTCCTCTCCCTTCCCATCTTCAGCACACACACCTCTCCCTTTTGCCACCCATCCCCATGCTCACACTCACCTGGGGATCTGCAGAGGTCCTGGGTGGTCATGCCAGCACCTGCACCATGGGGCACAGAGGGTTTTGCTTAGGGGGGACAAGACCTGGTGCACCCACATGCCCTCACCCATGCCTCTGCTGCTGGGTAATTGCTAGGCAAGCCACCTTCCCACCACTGTGTCTTGAACAGCACCAAAGAGGTCTCTTCCCTGGGGCCATTCCAAGCCCCTTTTTGTTGTATTGCTGTTCCAGGTAGAGGTCCCTGGATCACAAAGCACTCCAACACCTCCCTGTCTTCACACTATGGCTCCAAACCCCTTTTAAGAGCCATGAATGTCATCCATGGGATAGATCACATACAAAGAAAGAGAAAAAAAAATAGAAAAGAAAACAAAACAAAAGAAAAAAAACATTGTCTTCCCAAAAAGTACCTTCTGTTCAAAGAGAATGAAGAGGAGTCTTCCACAAATTTTCAGGACAAATCTGCTGTTATCTCAACCCTCGCAGACCCAACTATCCCATGGTAAGAGAACCCCAGACCCTGCTGCCAACAACAGCTCCACAAACAATTGTTGACTTCTACTCCCAGTGCTTCACCTCCTCACACCCCTTGCCCTCCCCATCAGGATGAAGGGCAACACTGCCTGCAGCCTTGATAAATGCCCCAAATCTCTAATATCACTTTGGACTTGGTGCAGGAATCCCCTGGCAGCATCGTTTGTACAGACATTGAAGAAAAGGGGAGTGATGTGGTCAGAAGAGGGCAAAGCAGTGAGCAGTGTTGGGAAACACTGCTCACTGCTTTGAGAACTGCTCACTGCTTGGAGAACAAGTTCTACGAGGAGCGGCTGAGGGAGCTGGCTCAGGGGCAACCTTATCACTCTTTATAAGTACATTAAAAAAGGCTGTAGCGAGCTATGGGTTGGCCTGTTCTCCCATGTGCCTGGTGACAGGATGAGGAGGAATGGGCTGAAGTTGCGCCAGGGGAGTTTTAGGTTGGATGTTAGGAAGAACGTCTTTACTGAAAGGGTTGTTAGACATTGGAACGGGCTACCCCGGGAAGTAGTTGAGTCACCATCCCTGGAAGTCTTTAAAAGACGTTTAGATGTAGAACTTAGTGATATAGTTTAGTGGAGGACGTGTTAATGTTAGGTCAGAGGTTGGACTCGATGATCTTGATATCCCTTCCAACCTAGAAATTCTGTGATTCTGATTCTGTGAAACAGAGCAGGAGGGCTTTGCAAGGGTGTTGCTCATGAGAAACAGGTAAAAACAACACGTGCTGTGGTGTCTGAGAGGACAGAAATAAAAGCGGTGGCTCAACAAACGCAACAGATATAGCAGGGGCTGAGGCCAGACCCACTCTGATGAGAGCTTCTGCTGTGGGCAAGGCTCAGGTGGCCACAGGAAGCCCACAGCACATGTCCCACCTGCACTTTAGGCCATTGTCCCACTGTCCCCAGCTAACAGCAAAGCAGAAACCTGAAGTAGACGCTGCTCCTTAAAATCAGTGCCCCAAAAGATGCTGGGGCAGGCGCCATGGGCAAGGCTGTCTCCTCCTGGCCCTGCCATCCTGCTGCTGGTGCTCTGTGAGTTGGGGCATTGCTGGGGGTGGGGGCTGAGGGCTGAAGGGCTGCTGCAGGGGGTAGGACAAGCCCGTGGTGGGCACAGGGGAGGATGGAACAGTGTGTGTGCAGGGCAGACATGCAGCACTTAGAGCGAGACCTTCAGAATGCTGAATGCAGAATAGATTGTCACTTTCTCCTCCACTCCGTCTCATGAGGAAGCTTTAGGCTGCAATGAGGTCTCCCCTCAGCCTCCCCTTTTCCAGGCTGAACAGGACAAGCGACCTCAGCCTCTCCTCATACGAAAGATGCTCCAAGCCCAATATCATCTTTGCGGCTATTGTAGTTTAACCCACCTGACATCTAAACACCACAAAGCCATTCACTCACCCTCCCCCATTCCTCTCTGGGATGGGGGAGAGAAACAGGAAAGTGAAGCCTGTGGGTTGAGATAAGGACAGGTTATTAAGACAGGAAAATAATAATAATAATTATAATAATATCTATAATAATAACAATAGTGATGATAATAGAACTACTACTAATAATGTGTACAAAACAAGTGATACACAATGCAATTGCTCACCACCTGTGGACTGATGCCGAGCCTATCCCTGGCAGCAGCAGCCACATCCATTCCAGCTAGCCACCCCTATATATTGTTCAGCATGATATCAGATGATATGGAATACCACTTTGGCTAGTTTGGGTCAGCTGTTCTGGGTCTGTCCCCTCCCGGCTCTTGCTGCAACACCAGCCTGCCCACTGGCAGAACAGAGCGAGAAGCTGAAATGCTCTTGGTGTAAGCACTGCTCTGCAACAATTAAAACATCAGCGTGTTATCAACACTTTTCTCATCCTAATCCAAAACACAGTACCCTAACAGCTACTAGGAGGAAAATTAACTCTAGCCTAACTGAAACCAGGACAGTGGCCCTCAGCTGGACTCTTCCCAGGAGATCTCTGTCTTTTTTGTAGTGGGGAACCCAGAACTGGACACAGTACTCCAGGTAAGGCTGGAGCAGGACAGAGTAGAGGGGGGGGATCACCTCCCTTACCCCACTGTCCACGCTTCTTTTACTGCACGCCAAAATCCCATTGGCCTTCTTAGCCACCAGGGCACACTGCTGGCTCATGGCTAACCTATCGTGCACCAGTACACCCAGGTCCTTCTCTGCAGAGCTCCTCTCCAGCAGGTTGTCCCCCTGCCAGTACTGATACATGTGGTTGTTCCTTCCCAGGTGTAGGACTCTATGCTTGCTCTTATTAAACTTCATTTGATTTCTTCCTGCCCAGCTCTCCAGCCTGTCTTGTTGAATGGCACCACAGCCTTCAGGTATGTCAGCTACCCTTCCCAGCTTGGTATCATCGGCGTACTTACTGAGGGTGGATGCAATTCCTTCACCAAGGTCATCGATGGAGATATTGAACAAGACCAGACCCAGTCCAAATGCTTGGGGAACACCGCTAGTCACAGGTATCCAGCCGGACTCTGCGTTGCTGATCACCACCTTCTGAGCTTGGCCAGTCAGCCAGTTCTCAACCCATCTTACTGCCCACTCATCCATCCCACACTTTCTCAGCTTTGCTAGCAGGATGTCGAGGAGACAGTATCCAAAGTCTTGCTAAAGTCTAGGTAGATGACATCCACGGATCTCCCTCCATCTACCCAGCTGGTGATGCCAGAGTGACATGGTCAGACGAAGGCAAAGCAGTGAGCAGTATTGGGACAACGATCAGGAGGGCATTGCAGAGAGAATGCTGCCCCTGAGATACAAATAGAAGCCACGTGTGCTGCGGTGTCTGAGAGGACAAAAATAACAGCGGGGGCTCTCAAAATACAACGGATACAGCAGGGGCTGAGGCAGGGCCCTCACTGATGAGAACCTTTTAGTGTGGTCCAGGCTCAGGCAGCCACAGAAAGCCCACAGTACGGGTTCTGGCTGCACTGCAAGCCTCCGTCCCACTGTCCCCAGCCCAGAGCAAAGCAGACACCTGAAGCAGACACTGCTCCCCAAAAGCAGCGCCCAAAAAGATGCTGGGGCAGGCGCCATGGGCAAGGCTGTCTCCTCCTGGCCCTACCGTCCTGCTGCTGGCCCTCTGTGAGTTGGGGCATTGCTGGGGGTGGGGGCTGAGGGTGGAAGGGCTGCTGCTGGGGGTAGGACAGACCCATGCTGGGCACAGGGAAGGAGGGGACAGTAGGTGTGCAGGGCACGCATGCAGCAGTGTGGGGCAGAATTATCTGGGGGAAAGCAGGATGGGGATGGCTTCCTCCAGCTATGACACAGATCTTGCAAGGGGCCCTTTTCTCCAGCACTAAAAAGTTGTCTGGAGTCTTAGAGCAAGACTTTCAGAATACTGGATGCTTTGGGGAGCTATGGGACTTAATGTGGAACAGGAAACACATCCAGAGGAAATTGGAATGGTTGCTAAGGGTGGACATGGAGTAGTTTCTGGAAGGAGACCTGCAGGTAGGAAGGAGACTTCTCAGTCAGGATCTAGCAGGGGAAATGTGGGCAGCGAGGTGGGGGTGAGCCAGGTCACTTCCCCCTAAGCAAAGTCCTCTCTGCCCCATGCTGCAGGTGCTGTCATGACCACTCAGGACATTTGCAACTCCACACGTGATGGTGAGAGTGGGGATGGGTGGCAGAAGGGAGATGCGTCGGGGGTGGAGATGGGAAGGGAGAGGGGATTTGTTCTCCATGTCTGAAGCCCCGGACAAGAGACTTTTCAACATTTGGGATCCTGCTCACTTTGCATCTTTGCCGTCAATAAAGCTGCATAGGGAATCCCTGCACTGTCTCTCCAGGTGACCTCACAGCTCCGGCCCTCTTCCTGAACACCTCTAGTGCTCAGGAAGGGGAATCGTTTTCGCTTCGCTGTACCATTGATGGTCATTCAGCCCCTACCCGAATTGTATTCTGCAAGGACAGGATGGAGGCACACAGCCTGAAAGGGCAACTAGGAAAACTGATCTACACCATCACTCTGAAGGTCACCCAGGGGAGCGAGGGGACGTACATGTGTGGATACCAGCTCAAAGATGACAACAACCGAGTAAGGAGCTCTGCCCTCAGTGCTGGCCGCATCCTGCATGTCCCCGGTGAGACACGGCCCCAGGCTGGAGGGGTGAGAAGGGACGGAGGTAGTTGCCACCACATGGCTGTGCTGAGGCTGGAGCTGTGTGCTGCAGCAGGCAGGGCATAGCTCTGGGACGGTTCCCCCGTGGGTGTTCCCTCTCCTCCAAGGCAGCCCCTCTAGAGAGAGTTGCTCTCAAGGCTTCCCCTGTTCCTGCAGCATCACATTTATGGCAGATATTGGCACTATTCAGGGCCCATGCACAGAGAGCAAGGGCTGGCTGGGGATTTCAATGGATGCTGTGCTGAGCCAGGGATGCTCCAAGGTCTGCCCTGTACACGGATGCTCTTATGGCAGGGGAAGTGGGATGATTGTCATGAGCTGGGCAGTTACCTATGGGTGAAGAAGGAGACTACATTTATGGCTCTTAAATGGGGTCTGAAGACATAGTGTGAGGACAGGGAGGTGTTGGAGTGCTTAGGGATCCAGGAACCTCTACCTGGATCAGCAAACCTACAGAAAGGGACTTGGGACAGCCACAGGGAGGAAACCACAGAGGTGCTTGTCGAGACACAGGGGTGGGAAGATGCCTTCCCAGCAAGGACCCAGCAGCAGGGGCACGGGCAGAGGCGTGGAAGTTTGCTGGGTCTCACTCCCTCTAAGCAAAACCCTCTGTGCCCCATGGTGCAGGTGCTGGCGTGACCACCCAGGACATCGGCAGCTCCCCAGGTCATGGTGAGCATGGGGATGGGTGGCAAAAGGAAGGTGTGTGTGTGTGGTGTAGATGTGAAGGAAGAGGGGGTTTGTCCTCTGCCTGCTAACACCTGGGAAGGGATCTCTTCTCTTTGTGCAACACAAAGCATTTTGCAGCCCCGTTGCTACTCCCATTTCAATGAGGGGAATCCCTGCCCCACTCTACAGGAGACCTCCCAGTTCCTGCCCTCATGTTGAACACCTTCAGTGCCCAGGAGGGATAAATGGTTTTTGTTCAGTGAGCCATTAATGGGCATTGTCCTGTTACCCAAACAGTCCATTGCAAAGATGGCGTGGAGCTGTCCCACCAGAAAGGGTATTCTGTACGTGTGAGAAAGCAGCCTATTTTTCTGGCTGTAAGCAGGACCTGGGGGCATCGTGTGTTAGTGCACGAAGATGTTGGAGTGCTTAGGGATGCAGGCACCTCTGTCAGGAACAGGAAAACAATTTACACACCAGATCCTTGGGGATCCGTGTTGCCACGGAAGTCTAAGGCACTTGCATGTTTCCCCTGGGGGTGGAGCTGCAGACACTCATCCTGTCCCTTTCTCTTGCCAGGCAATGCATCCAAGTCCCTGGCAGGGCCAATGGCTCCAGGTGAGTGATTCCCTTCTGCTCAATGAGAGCCCCCATCATGGGGCTCAGGGCTGCCAGGCTGCTGTCCCCAGGGCACGGGGCCAATGCAGGAGCTTCATCAGGAAGGAGGTGTGCCAGCTGCATGGGCACGTCCTGCTCCCTGCCTCTCCTCATCATACCCCGCTGCCCTCACAACCTCTGTCCCTCAACTCCCTATGCCCAGATCCCACACGCTTTCCCCACAGGCATGGCGCTGGCAGTGGCAGCCATCAGCCTCGTCCTCCTGGCTGCAGGCAGCTGGTTTGCCATCAGGAAAGGTGAGGGAGTGGGGGAAGGCGGGGGGAAGTCTGAGGCCGTGGGGGTCCTGCTGCAGTGCTGGTGCAGTGGGAAAGGTGGTGGAGGGAACCTGGGGGTGTGCAGCTGGGGCAGGCGCTGCCTGTTGGAAATGGCAGTTTTGGTTTATCCCTGCCAGCAGCTAAACACCACACAGCCATTCACTCACCCTCCCCCACCCTCTCTGGGATGAGGGAGAGCAATGGGAAAGTGAAGCCTGTGGGTTGAGATAAGGACAGGTTATTAAGACAGGAAAATAATAATAATAATTATAATAATGATGATAATAGTACTACTACTAATAATGTGTACAAAACAAGTGATGCACAATGCAATTACTCACCACCCGCTGACGGATGCCCAGCCTAACCCCGAGCAATCCACCCCCCCCAGCCTGGCTAGCCACCCCTATATATTGTTCAGCATGACATCAAACGATACCCCTTTGGCTAGTTTTTGTCATCTGTTCTGGGTCTGTCCCCACACAGCTCCTGCTGTACCCCCAGCCTGCCCACTGGCAGGACAGAGTGAGAAGCTGAAATGTCCTTGGCCTGATGTAAGCACTGCTCTGCAACAATTAAAACATCAGCATGTTATCAGTGCTCTTCTCATCCTACGCCAAACACAGTGACCTAACTGCTACTAGTAAGAAAATTAACTCTAGCCTAACTGAAACCATGACAGCAGCCCAGATGGGGAGGCTGCTGAGGGAGCTGGAAAGCTTCAGCCTTCATCCCCCAGCCCTGAGATGGGAGCCAGGGCTGGGCAGCACCTTGGCCTGTGCACCTCAGCCCCTGTTCTTCTTGCAGGTGCCTGCAGAGGAAGATGCCCAAGGTGAGCACCAAGGGCTGCTGGCTGTTGGGGTTTGTTGGAGGGAGTCGTGGGCATGGCAGGGCCCTGGGCTGCTTCTTGGCCAGGGGCAGTGTTGTCTGTGTGTGTGGCTGCATTCCCTGTGCTGGAGGCAAGGAAGAAGGGGCTTCCTCTGGGCTTCACTCCAGCTCAAGGCCAGATGGATTATAGCATCATCCATGGGAATGGCCCAAATGCCCCCATGCTGCTTTCTGTCAGTTGTGCTTCAGGCTCTCAGGGCCTTTTCTCTTTGCTACCTCTAGGCCTCTCCATGGTGCTGGTAATGATGAGGACTCTTCTGCTGACCCCAGCCATTACTGTAAGTGCCAGTCACCCTTCACCCTTCTCCTCTAGGCACTGTGTGAAGTGCTGATGCCTTTGCCATGGCAAGACATGGATGTGAGGGCGACTGTGGTGGGAGGTGGGGAAGCCCTGCCTGCTGTGTGTGGCTGGACACTAACTCAGGTTCTCCCTCCAGATGCCAACATGGATGAGATGGGCAGAGTGAAGGTGAGTTCAGCCCAAGCCCATCCTTGCAGGCGGGCATGCACATGATGGCTGCAAGACGCCAGGCTGTTGGAGAGCAAATGCAAGCAAGAAGTGCATCCGATGGCAGGAGCCTGGGAGCTTCGCGTGGCTGTGCTCTGTCTGAATCCCCCTCCTTCCATGCTCCCAGCATTTCCCCATGGTGGGCACCGCCAGATCAAGTCTACTGCTTGTTCTCCCTTGTGTTTTGCAGCTCTCTCAATCCAACTGCTCTCAACACCCACTGAATGCCTAAAGCTGAAATGTGAGAAGTGTGATCCAGCTCATTCTCTGACAGAGGCAGAAAACACTGAGGAAAACCGTGCTGATCTGTGAGCTGTGAATAAAGTTATCCCAAACAGGAAGGAGCTGGTGTAGTTCTTCTTGGCAAGGTCTGTCTGCAAGGCTCTTCACATCCCTTCAGATCGACACTACCACCCCTTTGTGTCTCGGTGTCTGTCTGTCTGCTCCGCCCCATTCCATGTGTGGCTGCATGAGACAGAGGTACCATCAGGAACACAAAGTCAGAGACGTTTATCAGTCATCTGAACAAAACCACATCTGCAGTGCACACACCGGTTGGCACACACATGTAAGTGCATCCCTGCAGTGATATCTATCCTTGTAGGTCCAAATGTATGTCTGTGTGGGTGCATAGAAGAGCACACCCGTTACTTCATAAAGCAACTTAGTTGTATACATATTCCACTGTGCACTGGGAGATGTTTTCTCTCACAGAAGAAAAATCAGTACAGTCACAGTATGATATGGTATATCTCATATATTTTAGAGTTATTAATGTATTGTAGGTGGAGGTGTGAGTCCTACATCTTCTTGGCTAGACACACACAGCCCTTCCCTGTGATAGCAAACTGCAAAGAAGCTTGAAGTGCACCCTCCAGCCCCATGTTACAGCTGCACAAGTCCTCTGCAAGACAGCAAAGGCAGCCATGGGCAAGGTTCCTGTGCCCTTGCCCTGTGGTAGCGCTATCAGGTCTGGGTGCGGGTCACCGTGGCATATGTCGTGGTGTCGCTCATCTGCTGCACGGGAGGAGGCTTTAGGGGGAAAAGAAACCCTGTTACTTCAGCTGCTGACTGTGAACCCTGCACAATGAGCAGGCACCAGGCTGTAGAAGTGCAGAAAGGAGCTGTACACAGCAGTGCCACGACTCACCCTGTCCCGTTGAACGTGGGCGATGGTGGAGTCTGCGGGGACAAAAATACACACCATGAGCCCTTCCTGCCTATTGGAGGAAGGTGAATCTCCACAAGCTTTGTGCACCAGCTGCCTGCGGTCAGTACTGAATGCCTGGCCACATTTCCCCTCCCTTCATCCTGCTCTGGGATGCGCAGCAAGCAGCAGTGGAGCAGAGATGTTGAGGTTTTGGTGTATTTCCACCATTCTGTGGCATCTCCTCTCTGCACAGCCAGCACACCTTGAGAGCTGCTCTGTTCAGGCGTGGGAAAACAAGGTAGTTCTGCAACTCGAGCACAGTGCACGTAGGGTGGGAATATATCTATAGCCTGTGACCCAACCACAACATCCTCCCTTGGCTGCTGCCTGTGGTTTCAGAGTGAGATGTAAGATATTTTCTTCAGCAGTTCAAGGAAACAGCCACAGTCTTAACTGCTATGCTGTGCAATGCTTTGCTTTTGAAGCAGACATCCCTCTGAAGGTAAACTGAAAGAAGGACAAAAAACAGAGGCTGGAGTGGGGGAATTGCAGCTTGCGGACAAAGCAGGGAAGGACGCCACAAGCAAAAGGGCTTGTCCCTCTGAGCACTGGGATGCTGCCATATCCCTTGTGCAGGCAGCAGCCGTGCGCTGCATGCGAGGAACTTGGGAGAAACCTGGCCTTGATTAATGGGCAGGGATTTAGTATGTCCCAGAGGGAAATGAGTGATGGGATTGCATGGGGAGTGTATGGGCAGGGATCCCCATCGGGAGAGGAGTGCACAGGATTCTCTAAGGGAGAGGAGCATGTGGCTTCCCCCAAGGGGAGGAGGTAGTACTCACACTGGATGTCACACCAGTTGGTGTCTTCCGTCTGTGGGCTGTCACGTGCTGCTGCCTGGAGAGGAATGGAATGGTTCTGGATGTGCATGTGCTGAGGAGGGGTCATAAGATTTATGCATTTGTTGTTGCGTTCCTGAATTTGGCATTGAGATGGAGTGCATCCCACAATAAGCCCCATGCTTTCTGCCTTCAGCACAGGGAATGCCCCTGAACAAGGAGCACACCAGGGCCCCCGCCATGCACCCAAACTCCCTCCCCACAAACCCCACAGCCAGGAGCCCTTGGTGCTCACCTTGGGCATCTCATTCTACAGGCACCTGCAAGAAGAACAGGGGCTGAGGTGCACAGACCAAGGTGCTGCCCAGCGCTGGCTCCCATCTCAGGACTGGGGGACGGAGGCTGAAGCTTTCCAGCTCCCTCAGCAACCTCCCCAGCTGGGTTGCCCACAGCCATCGCCCCCAGGCACAGTCTGACCCAGCTGTGCACCCCCAGGTTCCTCCACCACCTTCCCACCGCACCAGCACTGCAGCAGGACCCCCACGGCCTCAGACTTCCCCCCGCCTTCCCCCACTCCCTCACCTTTCCTGATGGCAAACCAGCTGCCTGCAGCCAGGAGGACGAGGCTGATGGCTGCCACTGCCAGCGCCATGCCTGTGGGGAAAGCGTGTGGGATCTGGGCATAGGGAGTTGAGGGACAGAGGTTGTGAGGGCAGCGGGGGTATGATGAGGAGAGGCAGGGAGCAGGACGTGCCCATGCAGCTGGCACACCTCCTTCCTGATGAAGCTCCTGCATTGGCCCCGTGCCCTGGGGACAGCAGCCTGGCAGCCCTGAGCCCCATGATGGGGGCTCCTCATTGAGCAGAAGGGAATCACTCACCTGGAGCCATTGGCCCTGCCAGGGACTTGGATGCATTGCCTGGCAAGAGAAAGGGACAGGATGAGTGTCTGCAGCTCCACCCCCAGGGGAAACATGCAAGTGCCTTAGACTTCCGTGGCAACACCGGATCCCCAAGGATCTGGTGATGTAAATTGTTTTCCTGTTCCTGACAGAGGTGCCTGCATCCCTAAGCACTCCAACATCTTCGTGCACTAACACACGATGCCCCCAGGTCCTGCTTACAGCCAGAAAAATAGGCTGCTTTCTCACACGTACAGAATACCCTTTCTGGTGGGACAGCTCCACGCCATCTTTGCAATGGACTGTTTGGGTAACAGGACAATGCCCATTAATGGCTCACTGAACAAAAACCATTTATCCCTCCTGGGCACTGAAGGTGTTCAACATGAGGGCAGGAACTGGGAGGTCTCCTGTAGAGTGGGGCAGGGATTCCCCTCATTGAAAATGGGAGTAGCAACGGGGCTGCAAAAATGCTTTGTGTTGCACAAAGAGAAGAGATCCCTTCCCAGGTGTTAGCAGGCAGAGGACAAACCCCCTCTTTCCTTCACATCTACACCACACACACACACCTTCCTTTTGCCACCCATCCCCATGCTCACCATGACCTGGGGAGCTGCCGATGTCCTGGGTGGTCACGCCAGCACCTGCACCATGGGGCACAGAGGGTTTTGCTTAGAGGGAGTGAGACCCAGCAAACTTCCACGCCTCTGCCCGTGCCCCTGCTGCTGGGTCCTTGCTGGGAAGGCATCTTCCCACCCCTGTGTCTCGACAAGCACCTCTGTGGTTTCCTCCCTGTGGCTGTCCCAAGTCCCTTTCTGTAGGTTTGCTGATCCAGGTAGAGGTTCCTGGATCCCTAAGCACTCCAACACCTCCCTGTCCTCACACTATGTCTTCAGACCCCATTTAAGAGCCATAAATGTAGTCTCCTTCTTCACCCATAGGTAACTGCCCAGCTCATGACAATCATCCCACTTCCCCTGCCATAAGAGCATCCGTGTACAGGGCAGACCTTGGAGCATCCCTGGCTCAGCACAGCATCCATTGAAATCCCCAGCCAGCCCTTGCTCTCTGTGCATGGGCCCTGAATAGTGCCAATATCTGCCATAAATGTGATGCTGCAGGAACAGGGGAAGCCTTGAGAGCAACTCTCTCTAGAGGGGCTGCCTTGGAGGAGAGGGAACACCCACGGGGGAACCGTCCCAGAGCTATGCCCTGCCTGCTGCAGCACACAGCTCCAGCCTCAGCACAGCCATGTGGTGGGCAACTACCTCCGTCCCTTCTCACCCCTCCAGCCTGGGGCCGTGTCTCACCGGGGACATGCAGGATGCGGCCAGCACTGAGGGCAGAGCTCCTTACTCGGTTGTTGTCATCTTTGAGCTGGTATCCACACATGTACGTCCCCTCGCTCCCCTGGGTGACCTTCAGAGTGATGGTGTAGATCAGTTTTCCTAGTTGCCCTTTCAGGCTGTGTGCCTCCATCCTGTCCTTGCAGAATACAATTCGGGTAGGGGCTGAATGACCATCAATGGTACAGCGAAGCGAAAACGATTCCCCTTCCTGAGCACTAGAGGTGTTCAGGAAGAGGGCCGGAGCTGTGAGGTCACCTGGAGAGACAGTGCAGGGATTCCCTATGCAGCTTTATTGACGGCAAAGATGCAAAGTGAGCAGGATCCCAAATGTTGAAAAGTCTCTTGTCCGGGGCTTCAGACATGGAGAACAAATCCCCTCTCCCTTCCCATCTCCACCCCCGACGCATCTCCCTTCTGCCACCCATCCCCACTCTCACCATCACGTGTGGAGTTGCAAATGTCCTGAGTGGTCATGACAGCACCTGCAGCATGGGGCAGAGAGGACTTTGCTTAGGGGGGAAGTGACCTGGCTCACCCCCACCTCGCTGCCCACATTTCCCCTGCTAGATCCTGACTGAGAAGTCTCCTTCCTACCTGCAGGTCTCCTTCCAGAAACTACTCCATGTCCACCCTTAGCAACCATTCCAATTTCCTCTGGATGTGTTTCCTGTTCCACATTAAGTCCCATAGCTCCCCAAAGCATCCAGTATTCTGAAAGTCTTGCTCTAAGACTCCAGACAACTTTTTAGTGCTGGAGAAAAGGGCCCCTTGCAAGATCTGTGTCATAGCTGGAGGAAGCCATCCCCATCCTGCTTTCCCCCAGATAATTCTGCCCCACACTGCTGCATGCGTGCCCTGCACACCTACTGTCCCCTCCTTCCCTGTGCCCAGCATGGGTCTGTCCTACCCCCAGCAGCAGCCCTTCCACCCTCAGCCCCCACCCCCAGCAATGCCCCAACTCACAGAGGGCCAGCAGCAGGACGGTAGGGCCAGGAGGAGACAGCCTTGCCCATGGCGCCTGCCCCAGCATCTTTTTGGGCGCTGCTTTTGGGGAGCAGTGTCTGCTTCAGGTGTCTGCTTTGCTCTGGGCTGGGGACAGTGGGACGGAGGCTTGCAGTGCAGCCAGAACCCGTACTGTGGGCTTTCTGTGGCTGCCTGAGCCTGGACCACACTAAAAGGTTCTCATCAGTGAGGGCCCTGCCTCAGCCCCTGCTGTATCCGTTGTATTTTGAGAGCCCCCGCTGTTATTTTTGTCCTCTCAGACACCGCAGCACACGTGGCTTCTATTTGTATCTCAGGGGCAGCATTCTCTCTGCAATGCCCTCCTGATCGTTGTCCCAATACTGCTCACTGCTTTGCCTTCGTCTGACCATGTCACTCTGGCATCACCAGCTGGGTAGATGGAGGGAGATCCGTGGATGTCATCTACCTAGACTTTAGCAAGACTTTGGATACTGTCTCCTCGACATCCTGCTAGCAAAGCTGAGAAAGTGTGGGATGGATGAGTGGGCAGTAAGATGGGTTGAGAACTGGCTGACTGGCCAAGCTCAGAAGGTGGTGATCAGCAACGCAGAGTCCGGCTGGATACCTGTGACTAGCGGTGTTCCCCAAGCATTTGGACTGGGTCTGGTCTTGTTCAATATCTCCATCGATGACCTTGGTGAAGGAATTGCATCCACCCTCAGTAAGTACGCCGATGATACCAAGCTGGGAAGGGTAGCTGACATACCTGAAGGCTGTGGTGCCATTCAACAAGACAGGCTGGAGAGCTGGGCAGGAAGAAATCAAATGAAGTTTAATAAGAGCAAGCATAGAGTCCTACACCTGGGAAGGAACAACCACATGTATCAGTACTGGCAGGGGGACAACCTGCTGGAGAGGAGCTCTGCAGAGAAGGACCTGGGTGTACTGGTGCACGATAGGTTAGCCATGAGCCAGCAGTGTGCCCTGGTGGCTAAGAAGGCCAATGGGATTTTGGCGTGCAGTAAAAGAAGCGTGGACAGTGGGGTAAGGGAGGTGATCCCCCCCCTCTACTCTGTCCTGCTCCAGCCTTACCTGGAGTACTGTGTCCAGTTCTGGGTTCCCCACTACAAAAAAGACAGAGATCTCCTGGGAAGAGTCCAGCTGAGGGCCACTGTCCTGGTTTCAGTTAGGCTAGAGTTAATTTTCCTCCTAGTAGCTGTTAGGGTACTGTGTTTTGGATTAGGATGAGAAAAGTGTTGATAACACGCTGATGTTTTAATTGTTGCAGAGCAGTGCTTACACCAAGAGCATTTCAGCTTCTCGCTCTGTTCTGCCAGTGGGCAGGCTGGTGTTGCAGCAAGAGCCGGGAGGGGACAGACCCAGAACAGCTGACCCAAACTAGCCAAAGTGGTATTCCATATCATCTGATATCATGCTGAACAATATATAGGGGTGGCTAGCTGGAATGGATGTGGCTGCTGCTCAGGGATAGGCTCGGCATCAGTCCACAGGTGGTGAGCAATTGCATTGTGTATCACTTGTTTTGTACACATCATTTTCTTTCTTTATTATTATTATTATTATTATTATTCTGTCTTAACTGTTGAGGGATTTTTTAAACAGCAAGGAGGCCATGATTTGCTGCAGCTGAGCAAACCAAGCTGCCAGGATGACTATGAGAAGTTCCCATGACAGTGTTCCCACATTGCCTGATTGAGGAATTTAAAAAAAATGTTGCCAGCAGCTGGCTTCAAGGACGGGATCTACATGACTGCTAATCACAGGGGGGCTGTTTTCCTTGCAGGTGGGATTGTTTTCTTGCAATTGTTTGTCTAAGTGCTTTTAACCAATAATCTTGGGTGAGACACTATCCGCTTCTGTTAAGTTTGCTATAAAAGTCAGGCTATTTGGGTAATAAAGGAAGAGCATGATCTGACCATACTCGTGTCTGTCATGTTTTCGGCCGTTTTTTCTGCAACAAATAACCTGTTTTATCTCAACCCACAGGCATCACTTTCCCATTTCTCTCCCCCATCCCAGAAAGGAAGGTGGGAGGGTGAGTGAATGGCTGTGTGGTGCTGAGCTGCCAACCGGGTTAAACTACAATAGCCACAAAGATGATATGGGGCCTGGAGCATCTTCCATATGAGGAGAGGCTGAGGTCACTTGGCCTGTTTAGCCTTGAAAAGAGGAGGCTGAGGGGAGACCTCATTACAGCCTAGAGCTTCCTCGTGAGAGGGAGAGGAGGGGAAGGCGACAATCTATTCTCTTTCATCACCAGTGATAGGATTTGTGGGAATGGTGTCAAGCTGAGGCAGGGGAAGTTTAGGCTAGACATCAGTAAGAGGTTCTTCATTGAGAGGGTTGTCGCGCACTGGAACTCCCCACAGAAGTGGTCACTGCACCAAGCCTGTTGGAGTTTAAGAAGCATTTGGACTGTGCACTTAATCACATGGTCTGAAATGTTGGATAGACCTGTGTGGTGCCAGGAGCTGGACTTGATGATCCTTATGGGTCCCTTCCAACTTGGGATGTTCTATGATTCTATGATGCTATGACTCTAATATTTACAAATACCTTAGGTGTGGGAGATGGAGGGATATGAGCAACCTCTTTTCAGTGGTTTGTGGGGACAGGGCAAGGGGCAAAGGCCACAAAATGGAACACAGAATGTTGCGCACCAACATGCGAAAGAACTTCTTCACGGTGAGGGTGACAGAGCTCTGGAAAGGCTACCCAGGGCAGTTGTGGAGTCTCCTCTGGAGATATTTAAGACCCATCTGGACTCTTACCTGGGCAACCTGCTCTAGGGAACCTGTTTTGGCAGGGGAGGTTGGACCCAATATTTCTGGAGGTTCTTTCCAACCCCTACAATTCTGTTATTCTGTGATTCTCTGATCTAGGTTGGAAGAGACCTCCAAGATCACCTACTCCAACCACTGACTTAACACTAACAAGTCCTCCACTAACTGTACCACTAAGCTCTACATCTAAACATCTACCCGCCCTGGGTAGCCTGTTCCAGAGCTCTGTCACCCTCACCGTGAAGAAGTTCTTTCGCATGTTGGTGCGCAACATTCTGTGTTCCCTCCAGGGATGGTGACTCAGTCACCTCCCTGGGCAGCTCATTCCAATGCCTAACAACCCTTTTGGTAAAGAAGTTTTTCCTAACATCCAACCTAAACCTCCCCTGGCACAACTTTAGCCTATTCCCCCATGTCCTATCCCTGGGCACATGGGAGAATAGACCAAGCACCACCTTACTACAGCCTACTTTAAGGTACCTATAGGAGCAACAAGGTCACCCCTGAGCTTCCTCTTCTCCAGCCTAAACAATCCCAGCTCCCTCCCTACTGTAGTTGCCTCCCTACATCCTCTGACAACAGTCTTATACTCCTCTCAAGAGGCCATACCCTCCTTCGATGATCTGTAAACTCTCCTATTCTGCTTGACTTTGACCAGTGCTTCCTTGTTTAACCATGCAGGTCTCCTCGTTCTCTTTCCTGACTTTCTACCCATTGGGATGCTCTGATCTTCAGTTTGGAAGTAGCAGTCCAGGACGGGCAAATAGACCAGGATGAGGCTCTTTACCTTCAAGTACCTTGTCCCAGGTACTTGATTTCTGCTAACAATTGCTTGAAAAGGCAAAACTTGTCCCTGCTGAAGTCCAGGGTTGCAATTCTGCTTGGTATTCTGTTCCTGCCCCATGAGACCCTGAACTGCACCATCTCATGGTCACTCCAACCAAGGCTGCCCTCAACCTTCACCACTTCAGCCAGCCCCTCCTTGTTAGTGAGGACAAGATCCAGCAGTGCTCCTCTCCTAGTTGGCATATCCACCATTTGCATCAGGAAGTTATCATCAGTGCACTGGACAAAGCTCCTGGACTGTGTATGACTGGCTGAGTAGGCCTTCCAGCAAATGTCAGGGTAGTTGAAATCCCCCATGATAACCAGGGCCTGTGATCAAGAGGTTGCTCTCAGCTGCCTGTAGAAGGCCTCGTCAGCTTTCTCATCCTGGTCTGTAACAGACATGCACAACTGCATCCCCCATGCCAGCCTGCCCCTTAATTCTCACCCACAGACTCTGAACTCGCTCCTCATCTACCCCTGGACAGTACTCAATACAATGGAGTTGCTCTCTCACTTGAAGAGCAGTTCCGCCACCTCACCTTGCTGGCCTGTCTTCCTGAGCAGGACATAGACATCCATGACCACATTCCGGCCATGTGAGCTGTCCCACCATGTCTCTGTAACTGCCACCAGATCATAGTCTCCTGATCAAATATGGATTTCTAACTCCTCTTGCTTATTCCCCATTCTATGTGTACTGGTTTCCAGGCACTTCAGGGAAGGAGCTGAGCACGCTGATTTCACCCCATGAGGGGTGGGAGGCCTCCCGGTCTTCATCACTGCAAGGGCACTGCCCCACCAGTACAAGCCCAGCTACAACCCTATCCCCCTGTGGAGCTAGTTTAAAGCTCTCCAAAGGAGCCCTACTAATTGCTGTCCCAGAACCCTCTGGACCCTGTGAGATAAACCTTTCCCAATTATTACTCTCAGGACTGGTGTCTTATAACACCAGCTGTTACCAAACAACCAAAAGCCGGGCCTGTAGCTTCAGTCACAGAGCCAAACATTTATGGACCAGATCCTTCTATTCCATCCCACATCACCACCCTACAATGCCAGGAGGGAAGAGAAAGGGACTTGTGCTCCAAACTCTTTCATCAACTGTCCCAAGGCCTTGAAGCCTTTATCCATTCCCCTCAGACTACAGGATGCAGCAGCTTCCTCCACAGCTGTCTGCAATATCATTAGTAGATAGTAGTATGTGAACCACAGCAGGCTGATGAGTGTCCTGGTGATATCTCTGATCCAGGCTCTAGTAGACCTCGCACTTCCCTTCAATGAGGGTCAGCTGTGCATATTGGGCCCACTGTTCCTCTCGGAAGGGAAGTGGGATAGGTAGGGAGGGAGGTTGCCCATCACGCCCAAATGGGACTCGCTTCCACCCCTCCTCATCTATTTCGTGCACTCCCTCTGCCTGACAGTGACAGGGCAGGGGCTCCACCACCCTCTGGGGGGCATCTTCCGGGTGCTCTTTTCTTTTGCACACCACAGTGTTGCTCCCCCAGGCAATCTTCTGCTCACACAACCTGGTGCACCTTAGTCTGCTCCTCAGCCTGCTTGTAGTGCTCTC